AATGATATAAATAAATAAATAAATGAGAACTAAAATTGATATAAAAATCAAATTTTAATTAACAAAACTAAAATAAAATTAAAAAATTAAAAACAAAAAAATTACAAGCAAAAAATTAATGATTAATTTGATATGATTAACAAATAACATTATATTTTTATTTTTTTAATTATTAAAAAGTGTATTATGACAAGAATTAAAAGAAAAATTTATGAAAATCAAGCTAACTTTTAATTTGATTTAAAAATATTTTTTATTAATCATTTTTTTTTAATAGTTAGCAAGTATAAAAAAAGCTTGGAAAGTTTTTTTTAGAAAACCGCCTTCTATAAGTAGCCCTAACACTTGCACGGCACTGTGTATTTATGCCCGGTTAACTTGTGGCCTAAAAACCTTTAAGTAGTCGACATGCTGCGTAAAAAAAATATGTTTTCTTTTTTAAATATATACTAATTTAATGAGCCCACGTGTCATGATTTTTTTGAATATAAAAAAAAATTCAAATCAAAATGAGTTATTTAGTATTATTATCAAAACCAACTTGACAAATAAATCATAAAATCTTTTGACTTGATTTTTTTTCTAACTCGAGTTTAAATTAGTAATAGTTATAGTTGTCTTGACAGATCAAATTAACAAATTCAAAAGCAATTTGGATCATTCAGTTTAAAAAAATGGTTTGTTCTTGAAATAATTCAAGATAATATATTTTTTATTATAATATTTAGATGATAATATATTGGATCAACTTGAATTTTACGATCGAACGTGATAAACCTTCAATCTATACTATAGACTCTATTAAGTCTATTTTTCAAAAAAAATATTTATTATTTAATGACATGATAACATAAATAGACACTTGTAAGATTGAGCATTAATGAAATACTGATATTTATTCAAGATCATAGTAACTTATAAAAAACAAATTAACCAGTTCAAAATTAACCATGACTCGAGTATTGAAATTGAGAGAAAAAAAAAGAAGGTAAAAAGACTTGAGTAAAAAAAGATGAATTTTAACCTAAAAAAAGGAAATGGAAAAAAAAAAAGACACTAAATCCAACTTCGTTGTCTAGCCTTGGTTTAAAATTAACTTGCATCAAAATCAACTAGATATAATCTAATTGACTTGATGAATTAAAAAAGAAAAAACCTAAATAACTGATAAAAGACGTGATTTTAATTAAGAAAAATTGAAAGATAACATTTTCTATCAATACAAAGACAATAACATATTGGATTGTCTCAGACTTCTTGATTTAACCTGACAAATTCACGATCTTAATAAGAAATTTTGTTAGATTTAATAAATTTATTTTTTAATTATTTTTTATTTAATGATACAATAATAAAAATAAACGCTTGTAAAATTGAATGTCAATTCAATAACAAGATATTTATTTGAGAACATGATAACATAAAAAAATAAACCACAATAAAAATAAAAATCAACATGGGATAAAATTAAAGGAAAAAAAAAACTAAAATTTGATAAAAAAAATAAAAAATAAATTTTAAAAGAATTCTTTTTTTAATTATTAAAAAGTGTATCATGAAAAGAATTAAAAGAAAAATTTATGAAAATTAAGCTAACTTTTAATTTGATTTAAAAATATTTTTTATTAATCATTTTTTTTTAATAGTTAGCAAGTATAAAAAAAGCTTGGAAAGTTTTTTTTAGAAAACCGCCTTCTATAAGTAGCCCTAACACTTGCACGGCACTGTGTATTTATGCCCGGTTAACTTGTGGCCTAAAAACCTTTAAGTAGTCGACATGCTGCGTAAAAAAAATATGTTTTCTTTTTTAAATATATACTAATTTAATGAGCCCACGTGTCATGATTTTTTTGAATATAAAAAAAAAATTCAAATCAAAATGAGTTATTTAGTATTATTATCAAAACTAACTTGACAAATAAATCATAAAATCTTTTGACTTGATTTTTTTTCTAACTCGAGTTTAAATTAGTAATAGTTATAGTTGTCTTGACAGATCAAATTAACAAATTCAAAAGCAATTTGGATCATTCAGTTTAAAAAAATGGTTTGTTCTTGAAATAATTCAAGATAATATATTTTTTATTATAATATTTAGATGATAATATATTGGATCAACTTGAATTTTACGATCGAACGTGATAACCTTCAATCTATATTTGATAAACCACAATAAATTTATTTTAAAAAAAATAAACCACAATAAAGATAAAAATCAACCTGGGATAAAATTAAAGGAAAAAAAAACTAAAATTTGATAAAAAAAAATAAAAAATAAATTTTAAAAGAAACAAGAAATGTAAAGAAAACGAGTCAGCTCCTTCATTGACCATGTAAACATCACTGTTCATTTGGAACGTAAAGGAGCTGGGATCCACCTTAGTCCTTTCAGAGGAGTAGATAATAAAAACCTATTAAATTCTTAATTTAGAAAATACGCTGTCAAGAAAAAAAAGACTTAGTCTCAATTAAAATATAAATTAATATAACCAGGCAGAGAACTTGTTTGTCGCTACCTTATTTGTACGGTTTATGCTTTTTCAAATGTTTTTTATTTAATAAAATATTAATTTAATAATTTTAGATATTTTTTAACGAAAAAAAATATCTTTAAAAAACAGCCTACAGCTTTCGGGGAAAATCCACACCGTTATAATCAGGAGGGGACGTTGCAATCCAAAAGTATTTTCAACGTGGCAGTGGATTAACTTTTTCTGGGACTTGCCTGGAAAGATAACCCAGCTTAATCAAGGAAGACGTGGCATATCTTGTTTGTAAAGCGTGATAACAAATAAAGGAATCTATTTTAATATTTAAGGGTGTAACTTTACTAATTAAATTTTAAATTTATTTTTTTAAAATTAATAATTTAAATTATACAAACTTCAAAACTATTCAGAATTTATATAATTATTAAATTCAAAATTCATATAATTAACAAAAATATATACAAACCAAAAAGTTAAATAAAATAAAGACTATGATTTTATTTTTTTATGCACTATTTTTTATATAGAAATATATTAAAATAATATTTTTTATATTTTAAAAATTATTTTAGATATCAATATATTAAAATAATCTAAAAACACCTAAAAATATTAATTGAAAACAAAAAAATAAAAAATAATAATTTTAAAAAATAAAAACAATATATTAAATGACCTCTCTAGTATTTGACCACTTGACTCCCGCGTAACTACACAACAAGGGAGCTAGAATTTGGAGATAATAGTGAGCGGTCACGTTGCATTTTGAGACCGGCAAATTTCAACGGTCTAAATTTAAAGTCATGTTTACAAATTACATAAAATTTAATCTTGATTTATAATTGAATATTTTTTTTCATAAATAGTTATGATATAAGGAGTTTATTGTAACTTATTCATCATGATTTATCAAAATATATTAGTTGATCCTTGTAATATATATAAAAAATAATCATCTAATTAATATTGACTATACTTAATTTAATAGTGTAAAAAAAAAAGGAGAGTTTGTTCTTTATTCCATGGCCAGTCTTTTCATCCCATCTACCTTCTTTCTTTCTTTTTTACTTTTTCTTAAACAATATTGAAAAAAAGAAACAAATAATAGATGAATTTAAAAATATAAGTACTAAATATATATCTTCTAAAACCACGAATATTAATTAACTATTTTTACTAAGCTACAAGAATTAAGCTATAATTAGAGTTTAAGAATACAGTTGATTAAAAAAAGTATTTCATATTATTATTTTTAAATACAGTATAAAGTACAAGTTGGAATTTACATGTCAAATCAAAAGAAATTATTTTCTGTTAAATCCAAATTTTCATTTAATTTTGTATTGATTTTTTTATTTAAATTTAAATTATTTATAATTAAACACATATGAATTTTATTTGAATTGAATGTTAAAAATCAAATCCAAGAATAAAAATTACTATTTTCTAATTTAAGACTCGTTGCATTTTCTAGGAAATTTAAGAATGATAATTTCACCCGAGCAGGTGAATACCAACCTCAACTAACTCAAGTGATTTTTGCCTGTTCAGGTTGGAGGACAATAATACGTGAAGTCAAAAGTCCGATTCAGGTAAATTATGAAAATTTCTCAGTCCGACCCAAAACACTACCTCAACTGCGTCAACAAACCTTAAAATTTGATAAATTTACATTTTGTAACAAGCTATGTTGAAAAATTAGGTTTCTCCATCTACTCCAGCCGTCACCTCTCACTCATTTTTCTCCCTTCCTTTACTCTCCTCTCCAATCTTCACATCTCCGGCCAGCAGTAGACGTCGAGGACAACACAAGCAGATAGCTTGAACTAACTCTTTCGTCTAAACAGGAAGCAACTCTCTATAGATTTTTCTCTCCAAAGAGCCAAGTTATTAAGACAGAAGCCAGTGAGTGTTGCAAGCGAACAAATCTTGGTTTTCCCATGGTGGAACATGTATTCCCACCAGCAAACTTCACTCACAATGACCGTGGGGTACCTTTTGACTTCAAAATATGTAGTTGTAATTTGCCCATTTCTTTCAAGATCTATGGCTGTGCAACTTTCCAGTAATGGAGTTTTTAATTTTACAGTCTGTGCCGTTTACCAATGATTGCTTCTTTCCTTCTTTCACTTAAAGAATTAGTAAGTAAATTTTTTTTTTGTCTTGGACGCGTGCTGTTTTCTTGAGAAATGAGATTCTCGAATTCTTAATCTCTGCTAGTTATTTATTGCAGTACTCCTTGTGTTTAATTATGGGTTTGCTTTTGGAAAGGTATTCTTCTGGGTTATTATGTTAGTATAATGTCTTTGTGGATATAGATGCCTGATATCCATGGATACCGACGGATACCCGATACCTGGTCAGGTCAGGTTTGGTTACTAGCCAAACGGGTTGGGTTTCCTCTTCACTGCACTAAAGAAGGAAAAAAAAGAAACAGCAAACCAGATACCGCTACCAACAATTAAGCATAAAGACACAGATAAACTTGCTATAAAATGAAAATAATTCAAGAATTCATCACCAGAAGATTTCAGAATCCGGCAAACATGCCTCAGCTGACATGCTAGTTTTAGCCAAATAATGATGATAACATTGAAAACAGTCCCCTCAACTTGTACATAAATTTCAACCAGGAAAAAAAAAAAAAAAACTTGTACATAGACCACCGTCATCAACGCCACGTTAACACAGACTAATAACCCAAAACTGTACATGACTGGACGCATAGCATAACAAGGATTCTGCAAACTAAACATGACCAGTCAGTCAACAACTTCCTTCGCCCAACAACAGCCACAAATCACCATCTCAAGCCACTCAAAAGAGTGGTGCCGGCAAGTTCAAGTCAAACAACAGCGGCCTTTGCTTCTCTTCATTTAAAACCAAACCCACGTTTTCATTCACACTCTCGATCTTGTACCCCTGATACTCTGACCTCACCGGAGCCACCGCCGTTGGCGCAGCCACTCTTGACACCCCATCAGAAAGAAAAACCGGCGAGCACCATATCTTTAAACCACCGGCACCAACCACCGTTGTTTGCAAAAACGGCAGAGGAGCAAGATGGTCGCGGTGGAAGAAGTTCGTCCTTGCCTTTGGTCCACGGAGAGACCGAGCTGCCTCGTCATAAGCAAGTGCCGCTTCCTCGGCCGTGTCAAAAGTTCCAAGCCAACGACGCGTCTTCTTCCATGGATCCCGAATCTCAGCAGCAAATCGACCCCACGGCCTCTTCCTCACGCCTCTGAAATGGCGTTGAGGTTCGTTCTCCGCCGCTGGTGTGGAAGGAGCTGCAAGGGAGAGGGTTGTTGTGACAGTGTCGTTACGGCGGCGCCACGCGTCCCCCGCCATTGTTGTTATAGCACCGTACAACGTGAGGCTATAGGATAACGTGGTTTTTGTTTGAGGAGAAGAGAAAGTGTAAAGGTTAAAAGGTCAGGGGTCTTTTAAGGTTTGTGTGGACAATGTATATAGGGGAGGGGACAGTCTTGGTTAACCCCGACAGCTTGAGATTTGATTTATTTTTTTATCTATTTATTTATTGTTTCGTAATTAGTGTTTTTGAATTTTTTATTTTATTTTAATTAATTAGGAATTTGGGTTTTTTATTTTATTTTATTTTATTTTGTCCTTGGGAAGAATATCACTGGTACTCCCTCCTCTCCCTCGTGTTATTCGCACGTGTACATGAATTTATATTTGTAACTGTTATGGCTAGTAAAAATACATCAAAATACATACATACGTACATACATACATACATACATAAACAAAATTATAAAAAAATAACCACTAAAAAAACATTATTATAATATTTTTTAAAAATAAAATATATTTTTAAATACAGGAGTTACAAACACTCACCAATCTTCTATTCTGTTTATTCATCAACAGATGATGAACTTGCTCTTTGCATAGCAGTAGAAGAGGAAACCTACAGTTACTAGCATCTGGACTCCAGCAAAGGCAGAGAAATAATTTATGCCCTGCTGCTTTCAATAAATAACAGGTCATTAATTATGGGCTGTAAAGAAGATTGCCAAGAACACGAGCTAGCTCTGGCAGGTGCGTGCAGTGCTACCTCTGCTGTCTGTGTCGCCACTGAAATTTGTGTGCAATGGCAGCTTCTCCTCTTTCCTCTTCTTGCTCCTTGACCACCTTAATGGGATCTGTAAACCTCCGCTAGCTAGGTACAGCTACACCCGCCTTCCTCTTCTGATACTTCTAGGCTAGGTTAGGCTAAAGGGAACGGTCCTTTTGGGGTTAAATGTAGCTACATGATTACTTGCATCCATCCAAGCCATGTTCTTCTAGGTTCTAACCATCTGGTTAAGAGACCTCACGGGAGATTTCTAATTTTTCCTTTCATTCGGGAGCGAAGTTGTTACGGTTCCCAATTCATTGGATCATTATCTATTATCTCTAAAGCTAAATGACGCGGTGATCATCACTGTTCACCCTACATATTTTATTATTGTGGATTATAATAGTAAAATTTTTAAAAAATTTCAAATTAATTTAATTTTTTTGTCTAATTAAATTCAAATTAGAGTTTAATTACATTTTTTTTTATGGTTAAATTACAAGACAAGTAATTAAAGTCCAGTACATTTATAATATAGATGAGTGTAAAAATTTGTTGTTGAGGTATATTTTTGTATTTTTTTTTTGTTGTTTTTTAGTTACGAGGTGATTAATCTTTTGCATTTTGTAAATATTAATTTTGATAATAGAATTTAATTTTATCATCTTTAGTCTTTATTGGATGAGAGGAGTTAGGGGTAATAGTTGAAATCCTACCTGGAAAGAAAAAGATACATTTCATCCATTATGACCATAAAAAAAAATATTTTTATTTTAAATTATTTCATATAATAAAAAAAATTAAACTAGGTAATTTGTTAGCTTAAAATACCTAAAAAATAGATCAAAGTTAGATAAAAAATTGCATACCAAATTGATTCTTAATTTTGGATTGATTTTTTTACACTTTTAAAGGCAAGGGATGAGTTGAAAAAGATTACAAGGTTGTTTTATGAATGTGTTAGTTGCAAAATTGATTTTTAGATGACAAAAATCAAGTAATTTAAGTTTTTAATCACCGCAATAATTGGAATCTAAATATTAAAACATGTGTTATTTTAAAAAAAAAAAAAACTTGTGTACATGCATTTTAGTCTTGAATCACATGTTAAGCCTATTTTATTTTTTGTTTTGTTTTTTTTACTTTAAAACTCTTCTTATATGTTTTTTAAAAATAATTTTTAAATTTGTATTTAAAACCCTCCAGTCATGGATCTCAAGATTGAGATTGTCTTGTTTAGAGTATATAAAAAAAATTATCAAATATAATTTTTTATCAATTCAATATTTAATAATAAAATAAAAAATTTAATTAAAAATTACTAAAAAATAAATAATAATTAAAAAAATATGATTAAGGGTATGTTTGGGAGTATAATAACAGTTACTTTTTTGAATATTTTTTATTTCGAAATATATTAAAATAAAATAAAAATTATTATATATTATAATAGTAAAATTTTAAAAAAATTTAATTTAATTTATTTTTTTTATCCACAAATTAGAGCTTAATTATAATTTTTTTTTATGATGGTTAAATTACAAGACAGGGAATTAAAGGGCAATACATTTATAATATAGATGAGTGTAAAAATTTGTTGTTGAAGTATATTTTTGTTTTTCAATATTTTTTTATGAGGTAATTGATTTTTTTTTCTAAATATTTATATTATAATAGACTTTAATTTTATCTTGTTTAATCTTTACGGGGTGAAAAGAGTTAGGGGTAATAGTTGAAATCCTGCCTGAAAAGAAAGATTAAGACCATAAAAAAATATATTTTTATTTCAAATTATTTCACATGGTAAAAGAAGTTTAAATTAGGCAACTTGTTAGTTTAAAAATGCCTAAAATATATATCAAAGCTAAATAAGAAATTGAATTCCATGTTAATTCTTGATCCTGGACTGATCTTTTTGCACTTTTAAAGGTTAGGGAAGGGTTGAAAAAGGTTACAAGGATGTTTTGTAAGTGTTTTAATTGTAAAATTGATTTTTAAATAACAAAAATCAGGTAACTTGATTTTTCAATCATCATAATAACTATCATAATAATTGAAATTTAGATATATTAAAAAATATTTTATTTTTAAAAAAATTAAATTGGTGTATATGATATGTCGTTCACCCTATTGTCTTATAAAAAAAAAAAGTTTGTGCGCGTGCATTTTATTCTCGAGTTACATGTTAAGCCTATCTTATTTTTTGTTTTTTTTTTTTACTTTAAAACTCTTTTTATATGTTTTTTAAAAATAATTTTTAAATCTATATTTAAAACCTTCTAGTCATGGATTGCAAAATTGAGATTGTCTTGTTTAGAGTAGATAAAAAAAACTATGAAATATAATTCCTCATCAATCCAATATTTAATAATAAAATAAAATATTAATTAAAAATTATTTAAAAATAAATAAAATTTAAAAAATAATGACAAAAAATGTGTTTGAGAGTATAATAGCAGTTATTTTTTTAAAATATTTTTTGTTTTGAAATATATTAAAATAAAATAAAAATTATTTTTTATATCAATATAATAAAATAATTTTAAAATATAAAAAATATTAATTTAAAATAAAAAATATTTTTAAACACAAAAACAAATAAAACCTACATTTAACATAAAAAAACTTACATGCCACTTTGCTATGGCAAATATTGCCAAGCATAGAAAACTAGGAGAGAAGAATGAGCCGACAGAGCTACAGGGAACCATGATCACTCCCATACACAGTCAATGTTGCATCTTGGAGGAAGCTGCGCAGACCACCACATCGCGATCACATCTTTCATGCTCAAGCTAATTCTCCACTTCAATTCCTACCATGAAAAAAAAAGAGCTAGAAATTTGTTTTGATTTCAGATTTATCCTTAGATATTCAATCAAATTGTATTCTATTCAGCAACAAAATAAAAATAAATAAATAATCAATTCATTAATCCATTCCGCTAATTTAATATTCACTCGTGATTTAATAATAAAAAGCCTAAGTGGATGCACAGACAAATTTAAAAGTTAGAGCTTATTAATATTTAATATTGCAATAATAATTATTTTTTTAAATATTTTTTATTTAAAAATATATTATAATATTTTTTTAAAGATATAAAAATAGTAAAAGAATAATTTTAAATAAAAACAAATAAATGTTTTAAAAAAGCGGGAAATTAATGGATTGCCAAGGTTGCACGTGGAGCAGTCCAGAGGCAGTTTGGTTTGACTACCCGCCAAACCTACATTTTGTGGGGCCGACGTAAGCTGACAGCATTTATTAAGCCGGGGGGTGGGGAAGCCTAGCTGGGATATTTTTGATGTCATGACAATAGCCCGCCACGGGCACAGGCACAGGCACAGGCATCGACAATGATAGCTCACCAGTGCCTAATCTAATCTTGTTTGGGAGCCAATATGTGAAGCCCTCTGTATCGGTTGAAAAAAAAAAGCCTTTCCTTTTGAGTTTTTTTTTGGCCATGGTAAATCCTTGTACGACTCCATATTACCTCACCCCTCCACGAGGAAATAACGAACGGTAAAAAAGTTGAAATCATGTAAAACTTTACATGCTTAAGCAGATAAAAAAAAAAAATGTAAAAGAAGGGAAAAAAACAAAGCGAGGTCCGCAGTGTATTTCTTGTATTTAAATAATGTAAAAGATATTCTTTATTTTTATATTTTAAGAGTATTTTTTATACTGTTTTAACATGTTGGTGTCAAAATTAAATTTTAAAAAATAAAAAAATATTATTATTTTAATATATATTTAAATAAAACATACTTTAAAAACTAACCATTTCAGTATTACTAAACAGTCTCAAATTAGCCTGTTTGGTCTACCCTTCCGTGACTAAACAGTCTCAACAAAAAATACTAAAGGGTAACTCTTGATTGATATGTTATGTCATGATTATTGCATATATAATGTCGGCGAGAAAATTGTTGTTGCTTTATCAAAAAAATATTTTAATTAAAAAAATTATGTATATAAAAGGTTTTCGTAAACTTTAGAAGAACCAAACAAAGGGCACAAAATAGCATGTCGGGTAGAATTGATCCAGCTGTGTGGGCATGTAGTTGCCAAAATGGCAGGAATTTTTTATTTCTCTTGTAGATTTTTGTCTTGTTTTGTTTTGTTAGGCTGAAATCTCCACCTTTTTGGGCACGTACTTGCCTAAATGGCAGGCATTCTTTATTTTTTTTAGTAAATTTTTGTTTTGTTTTTCTTGTATCATCAGACGATAACTGAGTTCTTGAACGAATAAGTACAGAAAATTCACATACACCGTATGAACCCAGTTATGTTTAAGAGTTGATTATGTAGTTTTGGAACCTCACGTCATTTTTCTTTTCGACGCAGATGATAATTTCCATTCCTGAATTCTCTCAACTCAGTTGACTCTCATGGCAGAAACAAGAACAAATCAAATCACTAGATTATGGTTCCCTCGGTGTTTCTTAAAATCAAGCTAAAAAGAAAGAAAGAGCACACTTGTAGTGATCGGCCTGGATGTTACTGGGCTTCACGCAAGCCCAGTCTGCTGGCATGATCCTTCTTTCTGATTCCTCGCACTTGCCCACCTCTCTGTTTCAACTTTATCAAAAAAACTAAGCAATAAACCTCTCAAATTAGGTCATCTGGGCCTAGCATTGTTCGTTTGTTAGCCACATTAGAGACTACTAGAAGTCCAGCGAACCGCTTCATCTCAATCTAATAATCAATGAAGTCAATTAAAAGCTATATAAGAAAGGACTGTGATTGTTGAAATTCAAATTATTGGAATTTAAATAAAAACAATCAGCTGAGTGTTTGATTATGAGCAATATAATCATTTGGATAAGAAAATAAGTAAATATAAAAAACCTGGCATGACTACCAGCATTTGGTAACAATGAGGAGATGGAATGATGCTCTAGAATGATATACTACTAACGTTTATGATTAACAATTCCACAATGACAAATAATATTTACTCCAATTGTTCTATAGTTTAATTATTTTTACATTTACTCTTCATGATTTTGTTAAATTAGCAATTTATATTTTAAATCATCATATAATTTAACCTATTTTTCAAATTAAAGATGAAAACTGTAATTTTTAAAAACACAAAAATATTTACCTTTTATTTTCTGGATTAAAAAACAAACAAATAACCAGATAGGGCCATCATTTCTCTGGATCCCCGTAATTCCTTGGATGGGAATTTCTATACCAGTGCTGTGAAAGTCAAGCGGGTACTCAAATTGATGCGAGTATTGTGGTAGCTTTTACTTAAACAGCAAATTGATGATTTCGTGTTCCTGAATGGTTTTGATATGAAGATATTTTTTTTTTTAAAAAAAAACTATTTGAATGTATTTTCAAACAATAAATACTTATAAACACACTTACAGCACAGTAGCAAACACCAGCTTCACACCCACACTGCCTCCAGGTGATAGAAATTTTATTACGCGTATATCGCGAATCACCAAACACGGGAAATGGAGGAACGGAAACTGCTTCCCCTACCCGATGTCTTCTCCTGGCCCCAACCAGACTGCTCGAAGCGGATTAAATTATAGTAATCAAATTGATTAAACTAACAGCATTTGATTGATCCATTGACTCGACTTAGACAAAAAGAAACAAAAACCTGTTTTTTTTTTTTTAAAAAAAAAAGTGGAGATGCTCTGAGGGGAGGGGCAGCTCTACAGAGAACCATCAATCTTTCTATCTTGAAAAAAATCCACAGGTTGAGCTCTCCGCAGATACTATAATGCTTCTCTCCTAGTCAAAGGGGAGCACCTAGCCAGGGCATTTTCCTTTCAATAGAAATACAAGCAAACATCACGACAGCTAGAATTTCAGTATCTTAAGCACAACATAATTTGAATATAAAAACAGACAACGTCTTGTTCCACTTTTAAAGACAAGCTCCAAAATTTAAAAATACTAAATTACGAACTGGTAAACAAAAGGAGAGTCCATGAAAGAAACAACAGCTACTGCATACGCAAAATCTTCACTTGAGGGGAATAAACCTGGAAGAATGGGTGGCACCAATACCAGGTCTTCCATGCTTAACGGGCTTGTAGGAGATCGAGAACTCAGCTAAATAATGGCTTATCATTTCAGGCTTGATTTCAACTTGATTAAAGGTCTTGCCATTGTAAACACCAATGACACTACCGATCATTTCAGGTACTATAATCATGTTGCGAAGGTGAGTCCTAACTGGTTCTGGTTTCTCACCAGGTGGAGCCTCCCTTTTCTGTTCAGGATATCACCAAAAAATGCTTTAGAGAGCATCTATTTTGTTTAGCATGTCAACAAAGCTAATATACAAGAAAAAATGAGCAGAAACATCATAATATCATTTAGCGCAAAATAGTGACCGGGGAAGATAGAAGTGTCCAAACTACAACACCTGGTTGCATGACGAGGAAAACCAAAGAGTTCTTTGTTCTACAGAAAGCCTTTCAAACAAAAACAAGCATAACTAATAGACATCGATGTACAACACTTCCAAAGCATACCACCATTGATGATGTCACACTCAATGAGCATTGAAATTGGCAAAATAAGCACTGACGCTATGTTTGGGAGGGTAGAAAGTAGGGGACAAGTAGAGGGGATGAACATAATAGATAGAGAGTAATATCTCCTCATATTTGGATGGAATGAACATGAACGCAAAGAAAATATGGGGGGTGATTTAATTTATTGGAAAAACAGAGAGACAAAATCTCATCGGTAGAAGAATTAATTACACACCCTTGAACATATGGCACATAAACATTCATCTGAGGGTATATATGTAAAATCACATGATGGTTTATATGCTGTCTGGTAATGTTTCTCTACTCTCTCCTTAGGTTTGAAGACAAAAGAAATGTAGGACCATTCTCCTTATTTTAATTGACAATTCCAAACGGGAGAAAATCACATTCCCAAGCAGATTGTAAAAGAAGCATCAACAAACAAAACATGTACACCGTCTGCTCATGCTCAATCATGCAATAATCCCAAAGGACAATATCCACTGAATGATGCCTAAAATTGAGGCAAAACAGGAATCCATATTGACCATAACTTCAGAACAGACCAACTGCCTATTCTGTGAAGAAATTACTCCCCTAGACATCACATGAAAAGAGGCAGCAGCACCTTCCAAATGCTATTGTTATTTTTATGACACATCTAATCCATTGACAATAATTTCATCCATGATATAGGAAAACAGATCCCCACCAAAGTGTCCCTAGTGTCAAAATAATTATGGTTCTCCTGTCTTTAACCCCCTCCCACCCAGATGCTTGATTTGGTTCAGCCATTGATCAGGTGGTAATGTCCCATGGCAAGATCATTTTTTTGACCAGTCTGCTCTATCCTAATAAAATAAGAAATGTGATGCTGAATCTAAACTGACACCGTCATACTTAGACTAAGGAATCCGAGCGATGTGATGCAATCAACATCCGTACCTTAATAAAGGGAATTAAAGAACTCTATGGTGGTGCAAAAAGATTAAAGGCAAGTGCAATATTATTTTGATTAATTTTATAAGGAAAAACCAGTGAGAACAATTCCAAAAATAAATGAAAACAAATTTGAACCAAACAGCAGACTACAAGGATTGAAGAAACGTACAGCCTTGCGCAGTTTCTTGATAAGTGCCATTGGCTTCCTCTTCAAGCCCCTCTGAAACCTGACATCAAACCAACAATATGACAACTAGAAAAACAAATCACTCGGGCATGAAAAAAAAAACAAGAGTTAAATTTCCCTCTCGCTCACCTCCTGCGAGCACGCGCAGGAAAGAGCTTGACAAGCTCATCGGTAGACATGTCCAACAGAGCATCCAAATCAACTCCTCTAAAACTGAACTTCTTGAACGTTCTCTTCTTTGGCTGTCCTGCTGCAGCGACATCGGTCTCAACGTCCGCCTAAAATTCATCAGCATAGCAAAAAAAAAGAAGGAAAGTACATCAATTAGAGAAAAACTCGATGACAGTTCGAAGCCTTTGTTTGGTTCCCGGGATAATGATCGATAGTTTTTAGGAGTTCCAGCGCGTTTCGATCATTTTCCCGGGAAAATATCTAGTCGTGGCGGAGATTGAAGGACAGGCCTGGATTTGAGATCTTACCATGACTAAACCAGTAGATTGCAGAGACGGAAAAGGCCTTGCTCGTCTGCGGGTTAGAGTGGAGAGTGTTGAGGGGTGGCTAGGGTTTCGTCGTTATGATAGTCACTTTATATGGTACCAGAAAAGCCCGGGGACAGGACTTAATTGAAACGAGCCCCTGGACTTTTTAATGCTCGTATTGATGGTCCTATTATCTTACTAAACTACAATTCAATCCCTTATCTTACTAAACTACAAATCAATCCTTTAGTCATTCAAGTTGTTGTTCAACTTTCTCTTAATTTCTATATAATTTAATTTTAATTTTAAATTAAATAATAAATTAGATTAAGATATTTAAGATTAACATGTTAATTTGAGTTTAAAAATAATATTAAATAATTTCTTATAATTTAATTCTTTATAAAAAAATTTAATTCCTTTTACAAGGTAGCACTAGTATATGTACTTCTCTTTTTATTTGGATTTGAGGAAACGCTACTCTTCAAAAAATATATTTTATGGGTCTAGGTAAGTGAGTAAAATCCTGATTGTCTCGGGTTCTTATAAAAAATACATGTCCTAATTCAAACTCGACACTTGCTGTGCAGATCTCAAGTTCTTTGCCATTATACCACGCTTCTTGGGAACCTGTTATATGTACTTGTATATAACTACTAGATCACGCAATGTTATTTGTTAAACTTATCATTTATGATAATGGATTTTTAAATACAAAGCATAATTCATACTAGGAGGAGCTTGATAGTGCATTAATTATCCACCTTTCCATCGTATTTCTATGTTTTTTTCCCTATCAATTAGACACCTTGCCCTTATTCTCCTTCATTTTTTTTATTTTTTTACTTTAACTTTTTTTATATTGTTTTGACGTGATGATATCAAAATTAAATTTTAAAAAATAAAAATATTATTATTTTAATATATTTCAAATAAAAAATACTTTAAAAATCAATCAAAACTATAAGGCTTAACCCCCTCCCCTTTGCAGAATATTGTTCATTATAGCTCAGCTCGACATAGTTTCCATGCCTCGTGGTTTTGTTCTTGATAATCAACAGGCCCAAAATGCTTCTTATAAGGTTAGGTATCAACTATCTTAATATACCCTAACTTTGAACACTATTCTTTCGATTTGGGATGTTATAATCATCCATCTTAAAAATGAGTCGTCCTCGACTCTGATACCACGTGTAAGGTCTGGTCTACTCTCCCTTGTAGAATATTGTCCATTATAGCTCAGCGCAATTGGCTTTTAGCCTCGCGGTTTTATTCTCGATAGCCAACAAGCCCAAAACATGTCCTATAAGGTTAGGTACTAACTATTTTAATATGCTCTGATCCTAGACATTTTTCTTTTAACATAGAATTTTATAAGAAAAATCTCAAACTAGCCGATTTTGCTAAGCTTTCCATGGTTTCACTTGACTTTTATGATTTTGGTTGATTTTTCTTACTAGAAGTTATTGTTGGTGTTTTGGCTTTATATGACAATATGACATGTTAAAATTGCCTTTTGCATTGTAATGATGTGTATTTATTGCATTTACTTTATTCAATCTAGAAAATACCGGTTGAATTCTATAAAAATACCATTTTACCCCTTAATTTATACTTTTTGCTTTTATTATAAAGGAACAAAACATTATTACACTATAAAAGTAATTTGACTCCTTTTAAAAGTGATGAAAACCGATTGTTTTATCAAAATAGTTGAATTTGAACCAATAATGACATTCAATCATATTAAAATCATTTTTATTTTATTTAATTTCAACAATATCACCCAATTCTTGTCTTAACTCGATCAAATTGGATGAATAAAAATTTTCATCCTTGGGTGCCTTATGTGATCTTTTTAAAGTAATTTTTTGAAATAGAAAATTTATGAATCATAAAACTATATAAAATATAAGATAAACTCCAAATTCATAAATAAAATTATTTAAATTTATTGCAAACAAAAAAAAAATTGCATGCATTGCATGGAAAATTAAAATATTTTAAGAAATCTAAGTTTATTTTATTTTTAAAATAGTAGACAATCCATGTTAAAATTGGATCGAGGCACTGCCGGGTGAATCTTTCACCCACCCTTAATTTTGATCAAATCGAATGAAAATCCAACCTACTTTATTGGGTGATATTAAGTGTGTTTGGTATTATGGTAGTTTTTATAGTTGTGGTTTGAAAAATATTATTTTATAAAAAGTAGTTTTAGCCGAGGTTGATTTGGAAAAATACATGTTTGGTTAAAACTGTGGTTGAAATTAAGGTTGAATAAAAAATAGTTTAATATGTTTGGTAAAAAAATACTTTTCAAATTGAGATTATAAAAGAATTAATATATATATATATTTATATATATATTAATATTGATGGTTTTTTATTGAAATATTATTGATTTAACTACTATTATTACATCATAAAATAAACAGTACTTTATATAAAATATATTTTATTGTTACATTAAATTATGTGTAATTTCATAATGTATGAAATTTATCGAACAAGGTTTATAATTTTCATGATTTCCTGAGCATGTAACAACATCAGGTGAAATATTATTAAGAACAAAATTGAGATTGCGATTAAATTCTGTAAATGTTGCGTTATCATACTATCTCCTTCAAGTGTGATTATATAGCACCATTAAATCATGTTAAATATTAGTTTTTCAAATAAAATATAATACATGTAAAAAGAATTTGGATTGTTTTTTATTTTACTTGGTAATACCCGGGTCAATGTATTAAGTTTGGGTTAAACCTGGTTCGATTCATATGAGCTTGGCTAAACCCAGCCAATGACCTCACTAGACAAAATAGCACGTATATATTAAATTTATGTGTGTTGCTATACTGTTTAAGTGAATTAAAATTTATTTGAACAATGTAATGTTGAAGGTGTTGAAAATTGAGCACTTTTCTAGTTATTCCTATGTTCCGCTCCTTCTCCTTTAGATGTTTGCTTGGTGTTGGAGTAGGATGATAAAGATAACAGTACAAATGTGTTGATCAGACAAAATTAATTATTTTTTTTTGTTTTTTTTTTAATTTTTAATTTTTCTTATCATTCATGTAAACAGTGAAGAGGTAAAAGTATAAAAATAAAAAAGTTGTGCGTTTCTAGTTCCCAAAAAAAAAAGTTGGGCGTCTTTTATACCGTGTAACACAATTTATAAAACAAGCAACTTGAAATAGCTTTTTCTCGACATGCATTATAAGCATAATAAATAAAAAGGTTAATAAACAGTAAATCTTGTTTTTTTTTATTAAACAGCTTAAATCTATAATTTATTTAAATTAATATTATAATCATGTAAATAAATAGATCCATCGTAACGGGTGAAATTACTACTTTAAATTTAAAATATATTTTCATCTATCAAATATTACCCTCCAAGTCGAATCACGGGCATTCAAAGTCGTGTGCGAGATCTACTAGGAATAGTTGGCAAACACTTGTGGACTGCTCGGAGTTCAAATGAGTCAGCAACACCGACAGAACATGCTAAAAGATCAACACTGCAACTTTCAAGAACACCTCTACCACAGACTGTCAGATTGACAATAAAAACAGCAAACAAAAGCAAGGGTTATGACATACAACCTTAGTCTATGTAGCAGTTCTAAAAAGAACAAGAGAGAATACCTCACCCCAAATTAACTACTTTGTCATGGAAGATAACCTCACTCCTCGCTTGCCAGATTGGCCAAAAAATAGCAAACAAAGCAAAAACGAAAACTTCTTTTGAACCTTCCTTTACTCATAGAAAAAGAATAAAAAAATGCCCTTACTGGTCACAGAAAGGCGAACGAGTATTGAGAGAAACCGATGAATCCACCATCAATAAAAAAGGTTACATCATAGCTCCTAGTGGTAGCACATCCGAAGAACAAAGAACAAATGATGAACATATTCTACAATACCATGATATAGTTGTTGATTCCACTTGAAACAGTGTTTTAAAAGTGTGTTGTATTGATCCATTTTTTTTCAATAAAAGTATGTTTTTGGATAATCTTGATGTATTAATATTAAAAAAATATATTTTAAATATATTATTTTAATATATTTTCAAACAAAATATAATTTTAGAAAGTAATATACATTCAAATAACACAAACAAATCTGGAATTAATATTACCTGCACCCATACGACCTCTTTAAAATAGAAACTCCCTCATTCAATTCGATTTAACACCGCCATCTCAAATTCCGAATCCAATTCGAGCTAATGTGCTCGTGAGGATTGACCAGGCGAAGTTACAATAATTTTTACACGCCTGGACATTATGCTATGGCTTGGGCTTAATCTTGGTTTTCCATGTCGAGCCTTAACATAATGTCAATGCCTAGGCTGGTCCTGAACTTGACCAGCTCTACAGTCAATGACTATTCCTGTAAGATTAATCTTCATTATTTTAAGCGTTTCTTAAGATTGCTTGTATTTTGTACAAACCTTGATCAATTGAGAACATTACAAGACTTGAGATGTTATCAAGGAGACAATCGTCTAAATTTGCAATTTCTAACCTGTTAATTCTTAGCTTAAAATTCGAGTGTCACCCTCGTGTGCAGTCCATTAGTCGGTAGATGGATCGAGATCTAGATGAATTCAAAAGAAAACAGTAAGGTTAAGTAACAGGGAAAATGATGCGAGAACTCGGTGAGTTGCATGCATCGAGATTTTTTTTTCAGTATTTGTTCTTCCCAAACCCTTTCGGCTCGACATTTTACACCTGCCTAATTTCCATGGTGATGCTTAATGCCATGTGCTTCTCACCACGTGAAAGGGGAAATCTAATTGGTTCATTTTAACTCTTAATTGTTGATACATATACCTTCCACGCAGATCTTCATGCCATTTAAAGAGAACTCTGTGTCCCAACCATGTTAGGGAGGCTGTATATATATTCCCATGTTCTTGCTAAGAAATGGATCACAAAAAACCACTGCATCCTCGGCATTTCATGTAAACACCTAATTTGAGTTTATCTTGCCATTGAGTAGTTCAAACAAGATTCTGTACGCCTTGAATATGTCGAAACATTATTAGCCTGGACAGTAAACTTGTTTGAAGAACCGATTGAGATATCATAGTTAGC